TCCCGGTGTGTCTCGGAACTTCTTGCTAAGCGTAAGTGACACGAACGATCGGGTAGCACCCGAATCAAACTAGACATGAGCAGACATACCATTGACCAAAAAGGTCCCTATACATAAGCACAATGCACATATAAGGAATACAACAAATAGTAAGTAGAGAAGAATAAACACGTACCAGCCACAACGTCTGGCGCTGCCCGAGCCTCCTCGGTAGTCAGCTGAAATGCGCGACTCTTCACTACTGGAGCATCCGCCTTAGCAGGGCGGCCATTGGTAATCCTCATCGTGGCCGGCGCAGGCGCCGCCACTACTCCTCCCCTCCCTGAAACCTCGGACAATCGGCCTTTTTATGGCCATTCTGGTTGCAGTGGAAACATATCAAGCCCTTCTTGGGGCAATCCCTGCTCATGTGGCCCTGCTGACCACAAGAGTAACATCCTGATATCCCGGCTGTCCGACAAGCCCCACTGTGAAATCTCCCGCACTTGGCACACCGGCCCCGACCATGTTGGCCCCTGCTGGAAGTATCTGAAGTCTTAGGCTTCTTAGCCTGACCCACTATTGTCTGTGCCTGCTCCGGCTTCCGCTTGGTGCGGAAGTCCAACTCCATTTCCCGTTCCCGGGCCTTCTCTACCATCTCATTCAGGGTTTTGCACCCTGTAAAGCTCACAAACTCCCGGGTATCATCCCTCAGCATGGAATGATATCTCGTCATGCGCATATCCTCGTCAGTAGCATACTGAGGAATCAACAATGCTCGCTCACGAAACTTGGCGGTGATCTCCGCCACAGTCTCGGTGGTCTGCTAGAGTTCCTGGAACTCCCTCACCATCCTCTGCACCTCAATGGCTGGTGCAAACTCCAAGTCAAATCGCTGAACGAACTCGGCCCATGTCATCTCAGCCACACTGGCTGCTCCCACCTGGCTAGTAACCTCGCCCCACCAATCCCAGGCCCTGTCTCTCAGCATACAAGAAGCAAATCCCACCTTTGCCGCATCCGGGAAAGAACTCGTGCGCTGGGCGTTCTCGATATCCGCCACCTAGCGTCGGCTAACGATGGGGTCCCTGACCCCGAAAAACTCCGGCGCCCCACACGCCTTGAAATCCCGGAATGAGGAAGTTCGGGCCCCGATCTGGTCCGCAGCAATCTCGACTCTGAATGACCTGATCCCCTCCTCCATAATCTCCATAATCCCCTACTTGACCGTCCCAAAGATCACTGGGGTAGCGTCAAGGATGCCCTTCGTAACCTCTGCTGTAATGATCTCGCGCAGCCTCTCATCAATGGGCTCTGCACTGCCGCCCGATTCGAATCCAGATTCTGATCCCGATCCTGATCCCCCTGTCCCAAATCGTGTCACCACCATGCTGAACTGAAATGTCATAAACCATAATAACCAAGACACATATATAGGGGATCTTCCCACACCGGTCCTCCTTAGAGCTGTCAGATCTAACATTAGTTCGGGTACAGGTCCTGTGCTTTCAGTAGTACGGGCCCAATACTACCTTCCACACCTACATGTACCTTTTCCTAAGGCCAAATCAATCATTCTAAGGCTATAAGCTCCTAACCGTATACAATTTTAGAAGCATACACATAGCAAGTTTCATACGATTATCGAGCTCAAATATCAGTATAACATGGCTAACACATTGGGGAAACTACTTACTGGCTCGGCCGATCACGCGCGTTGCACTCTCCTCTTTTCATTCCTTAAAAGTTTTTAATTTTTTTTTAAAACAATTTTACCATTTCCTTAGTTTGAGTCCTGATACACCCGAGAGTGTGCCCAAATCCATCAAACCAAGGCTCTGATACCAACTTGTAACGACCCCATTTTTCAAAGAAAATTTTCATTTTTGATTAGTCAAATACATTTCCATATATTAAGAAATCCATTCGTAATTGTTTTCAAGACATATTTCAATTACAACTTTTATTCCAAACATCAGAGTGTCCATAAAACGCATGGGAGAGAGTGCACGCCGCGTCATGACGCCTTGCCTTTGCCCTTGGGATCTGAAGTACCTGACACAAATCCACAACCTGTAAGCTAAATGATTAGTGAGTTTCCCAGAGCATACCACACACAATACACATATCACATATCATGTTAGCTATAAAAGCTACATATAACACATAAGCCATGCATACATAAACCTGTAAGGATGCCGTGGGCTCCCCCCAGGGTCTTACACCTTCGTGTCATGGGCTACCCCACATGGTCTTTACCTAGGAATGCCATGGGCTACCCCACATGGTCTTACATCCAATACCATGGGCTACCCCACATGGTCTTTTACCGAGGAATGCCATGGGCTACCCCACATGGTCTTACATCCAATGCCACGGGCTCCCCCCGGGGTCTTCCATGCAATAACACACAATCACATAGCATATCAAATCACTAAAATGACTAACACATAAACATAATCACATAATGGGCCGCCCTTGGTGCCTTAGACCCATGGGTATGGTGAGAAGACTCACCTCTGTCCGAAGAATCCGAAACTGCTCTCCTAACTGTCCGTAACCACTCGTGCTGAATAATAATATTAACCCATGTTAGGACATCACATAATCAAAGGGGACCCAAACCCCAAGTCCTTCCATGAAGTCCTAAATATCCTTTCTTTGTTAATGGGCCCAAAGTCCATGACCAAAAATCATTAATGGGCCTCTTGGCCCAATAAGACCCTACCATAACACCAATGGCCCAATACAGATAAAATGGCCCACTATTCGTAGAATGCAACCAAGTCCAATAACCAAATGAGGCCCAACAGATCCAACCCCATCTGATGCGTACGCTTAGCGTACCATCCTGGTACGCGCAGCGTACTGGGGCTTTGGGACTTACGCGCAGCGTACACTAGGTTACGCCCAACGTACTAACAGATTAAGCACTTTTTCCATTAAGTGCTTAATACTCGATTCTTTTACGTCCAAAAGTCAGATCTACGTTTATTAAGACAACCTAGGGCATAAAGTTGGCAACTTTATGCCTTTGCATGCCTCATATGTTCCCAACACCCCCATTAAGACCTTTCTAAGGTTCTTAACCCATGCATGAGTTCAAAACACCCACCAAGACTCCATTTTTATGTTGAAAAAGGACCAAGGGACCTCAGATCTGTCATTTCCATCCTCTGGAGTTGCTTAACTCACAAGTGGAGGTCCAAAATCAACCAAACGGACAAAACTAGAAAACCCTAGCTAGATCTAGAGATTAAGATGGAAAAGTCCAATATTTATACCTCCAGAAGCTCCTCAAGGTCGACTATATGCAGATTCTTGAAGCCAAATGACACTCGAAGCTTCCTTGACAACTTCTTCTTCTTGAATGAACACTATAAGGACCACAAATGCACTCTTAAGGCTCAAAATGCACTCACAAATGGTATTAGGGTTTTCAGAAACGTTTGGAGGTGAAGGAGGCTGTCTAGGGTGAGGCTCAAATGAGTTAAGGGTGTTTATATAGGGGTCAAGTCCGAGATTTAGGGTTTTGGCCCTCTGTTGCGTACGCCCGACGTACCCTTACGTACGCTCCGCGTACACAAGGCTCCTTTGCGATCCTTCTCACATAGTACGCTAAGCGTACCCTTAGGTACGCCCAGCGTACGAGAGGGACCATTTTTGCCAATTAATTCATTTTCAAGGGTTTCAATGTGTACCTGATTGGGAGTGTTACATCACCAATTTCTAGTTTTTGTCCCCTTTTTGTATTAAATAGCAATCTTCATGCTATTTCATCATATGAATGTTTATGTGCAAATACTTTTATAGCATGTTGTTGATAATACATGTTATAACATGCTCAAATACAAATTCCACCATAATATAGTGTCTATAACATATTTTGTATCCTCTCTCATATTTTTGTCCCGTTTGCTTCACGTTTCAAGATTCTTACATAAAACCATTATTGTTCCATCTTTTGGGACTTCAAAGCTTCTAATGGACTTTCCATATTTTTAAGTAAGTTACTTAGGCCTTACATCACTTGTCTTATTCTTCATCCTACCATTATGTGGCTTCCACTTTTTGTCCCACTTTACGCCTAATTGAAGAATACTTTGTTATTTTTACCACTTCTTAATCAATATTCCAAGCATTAAAAACTCATTCTCAAACATACATGATTTACTTAAACATAAATTGTACTCAAATATTATCACTGGAATATGGTTGGCAACATTCACATCTCATTGTCTTAATTTATCCTAACATCCTAAACTAGATTTTTAGGATCCTACAAAAGGGCGATATCATTGACACACCACCGATAAAAAGATATTTAGTATATAAACCATACCTCTCGCGTTTTCAGGTGCCAGGTCACAAATAAGCATGGTCTCATCGATATAGAAAAAGTGGGAAATCTCCAACTCGTTATCTCCGGTCTTAACCCCTAGGAAAACATTTTTCGAACAAGCCTCTTGAAGAGCTAAGTGAAGTCCTTCTATAACAATGATAAAGAAAAAGAGAGAAAGCGGATCACATTGTCTTAACTCACCTTAACTCACCCTCAATCTTGAGCTCCTTATTCGGGGAGCCATTCACCAAAATAGAGGCCCTAGCCGAGCCGGACTGAGAGCTATAGGACAAGCCTCTTGAACAACTACATTAAGTCTTTAAACAAATATGCATGTGTGGTTGCTTTGTACCCAGGATAGGGCACTTGTGTTTGCTTTTCCTAGTCATTCTACCAAGTCCACAACATGTCTTAGTGCATTGTTATCAAAGTGAAGGGCATCCGTAATGTATTCATTTGTATAAAATTTAATGGGTTATCACACCAGTATTCCACTTTCGTACAGGTCAAAACAGAGTCACCTAACTAAAACACCATATGAACCCCCTTCCTTGTGCTGTGAGTTTAATCAGGTCCTTTCTGTCCTTTCTATCTTTCTAAATAATGGAGCAATGATATCCGTTTTCCAAAGAAAATAAGTAACAATCCAAGTTCAAATAAACAAATCAGAACTATATATATACATTTGACAGAAATTTTGATTCTTACATAGAAACAAGATGTTAGGTAAAGTTATTCGTATTTAACATTACAGAAAAGTCACACTGTTGATTCCACGTCACTTTCGTGTGCATGTATTTCTGAAGATCTATGTAAGACGCACCTCCATATCTTCATCTTATCTTTCATATGCCATTTTTCACGAACAAGACAAATAATGGACACCAAAAGGGCTGATACCATCGACACACCACTGATAAGAAAGAGGCCCCGAAGCCCATAAAGATTCAAGATTTTTGGTGTAGGGGAAGAAAAATCCTTTGACATCAATGCAGATTCACGTTTCAACCATTTATCCTCTAATGCTTTCAGTGTCCCATCTTCACGCATTTTCGCTATCTGAGTCGACATCTCTCTGGCCAAAGGTGAACCTTTCTGGAACGCCTGCAAACATAGAGCTAAATGAGACATGGAAACGGAATCAAATGTATGGAAAATTAAAGCTTAAAGGATTAGAGAACACTTACAAAGCCGAAGCCATTGGTGGTGGGTGCTGTTGCAATCAAGGAGAAATCAGCACCTGAATACATTGCAAGAAATGTTTTGATGTAAAGGATCTCAGCAACGATTGCTTCAACTTTTCCAGTTGTTAATGCTTTAGCGTAGTCCTCAGGTGCATATAGTTTCTCTGACCAGGCCTCAACAACATTCAATTTGTTATACACAACTCCTACAGGCGAAAGACTCTGGAAGCCGATAGACATCTCCTTCATTCCAATCTGTTGCACAGTTAAAAGTGAACTCAAAGTTGCAGTGTAACTTGATGTGAGCACAAGCACTACAAATAGCCAAACAGTAACCACAAATCTTGATAGATTACTTTGCAGCTTCTCCCCTGCAGTTTTCAATTCCCAACAGATCTAAGATATAGATTTTACAGGTGCGTAAAAAGATCAAATCTTTAAGTAAATTGAGATTAGAGTAAAGAGTTTGAGAACTTACTGTGAGCATAAACAAGGGTTGAAAAGGCAAACCGGAGGGTTGTTCCGATTTGCTCTGTTGGTGAACCTTGAAATTCTTGGTTTGTACGATGTTCGATAAACCAAATCACAAACCCTAAAAAGATAAAGAAAAAAGCAGTTGTGATCCAAAGATTTGCACTGAGAGGATCTAAGAAGATCCACATGCTTTTCTTGGCATTTCGGGCTACTATGCCAACTCCAAGATCAGTGAAGGGCAATGTGAAGTCGACATAGAGAGATCTATTTGCTGTGATTGTAAAATCCCCAATAGCAGCATCATATTCCTGATAGAAAGCCAATATCAAATTAGCTAAAAGCCAAATTCATGCAGTTTTGTGCACAAAAGGCATGTACGTACCTTAAGATAGATTTTTTGGATCACATCATTGTAAGTAATTCCATCCTTATAAGAGAACGGAATAACCTCAATCCCTACTCCATAATCTAAGGCGTTAAACGCAGCATTGAAGACATCCCCACAAAACCCACTCACAACTGACAGATTTGTTCTTGGATCAACACTAATTTGTGCTATATTTTGGAATCTGCTGGAACTTGGAAACAGAATCCTCAGCTTCTTGTTGCCATTTGTTTGTAGCATCCTGCGCTTTGGATTAATGCTTGTAGTCCCACCCGGCCACATGATACTTTCCAGGCCATGATAATTGGAAGAGGAATTAAGTTTTCCTATTTCTTTCACAAACTCACCATTCGTAGACATCATCATCCAGAACCCTACCCTCCTACCACCCTTACCAATCACATTTACAACTTCCATGGCTTTTGAGATGCTTCTCCCATTCATAAGCTTGAATTCACCACCTAAACCATGGAACTTGACTCTTAACATCTCATCTAAAAGTAGTGATGTGCCAATATTGGTACCCAAGTCTTTCGAAGCTAATTCTCTAGTTTGTTCCTTCTCAACAGCCATGGCAAGTGCGTAAACTGCATCATATGCCCATATACCATTAAAATCTACCTCCTTAAACTCCATAAAAGGGTTCAAAGCATAATATTCCTTTCTCCATCTTGAAACAAAGCTGTGAAGCTCTCTTGATGCTGAAAAATATGATCTGAAACCAACAACCCCCTTCATTGATTCGATTGCTTCAGTATCCATGGAATCCAACAAGTCCATAGTCTTACTTGTTACAATCCACATGTATCCTTCACCCATCATTCCCATCTCTTTTGCAATGGAGAAAAGATTGGATGCTAGAGAAGGTGGTGTATGCACTATAAACACCGTGTCTTGCATAGTTTGAAGCTTACGAAGCTCTTCCTGGACTTGTTGGTTGCTGTCAGATGTTGAAATTAGGCTAGTATACGTAACATGTATGTTTTTCTCTTGAAACTCTCTAGCCATATAGGTAGCCATTTCTCTCCCGTTTGCAGTGTCCTCGCAGATAACGATCACATTCTTTGCTTTAAAGGAATCTACCATGGCAGCAATGCCTTTGAACTGAGTGGTTTCATCTTGTGCAATTCGAAGAAGATAAGGATTCTGATTCGAAAAAGGACTTGTTGAAAATGAAAGAATTGGTATGTTGGCTTTGTCTCCCAAAACCTCCAAGAATCTTGCTTGGGCTGTTGATTCTAGACCTATTATCGCTTGCACTTGAGTGTTCTCCAAAAGATCCACAGCTGAATGTCCATGAACACACTATATTAGTATTTAGTATTCAAAATCAAAGTTTATGATAATTAAGCAAAAACTGAGTAAAAAGAAAAAAGCAGCACCAGCAGAGACGGCATGTAGTGGTTCTCCTTTGGTATCCCTGGTCATAAAAACTATTCTTGTTCTGTAGTCAGGATTGGCTGCGTAAAAGTCAGAGATAGCCATGGTAATGCAATGATAAATGACCTTCCCTACCCCTGATTCCATGTCAAGAATCACTCCCACCTGTATGTCCTTGTAAGTTGGATCTTCATGTGCTGTTAAAAGGCTTTGAAAGCTAAGCAACAGCAATATCAGAAGTGGAAATAACCTGCAATTCGCCATTACAACAGAAGTTTTAAGTTTCCTGCAGCTCTTGGTTCATCAGGATGACCCAGTAACAGTTTTAGAAGGTGATCATAAAGAAAGAAAAGCGACTCCTGTCAAAACAAGAACATAAACAAGTAGGAGTATATATATGATTTCATGACAGCTCATTAGTTGACATTTAATTTTGAGTTACGCCGCCATGAAAAATGTTGACATTGATTATGTTAAAACCCTGGTCAGTGTTCTTTGGTCTAAAACATTGAATAGGATCAAAAGTCAACAAATTCGGTCAGACCTATCAGCATCATCATGAGAACCTGCAAATTAGATGGTCAATATCTGGTTGAAATAATATTATATATAATTAAAAATTAGATTACTAAAAATAACGATCAATTTTGTCATCATTCAATGCCTGGAGAAATTTTCTTAATAGAAGTCCATCAATTACAATATTAATTTTAGACACCTTTTTTGCAGCATAGATCAGTGCATCAGGAAAATAAGAGAAATGGACTAAGAAAGGGAGTCACACAACTTTAAAAACTCAATACACAACCGATCTTAATAGACATACTCCGGAAATAAATCATGCCAAAAATATGTATCTACACATAATCTCTTTCAGGCATTTCATCGAACAGTTGCTATGCGTCTCTAAACTGGCCATAGTAGCACAAAAAAATATTAAATTGTCTGTCAGACAACCATGTAGCCATGCCAAGACACATCAAGATGGACTGGCAACAATCATCTACTGAGCCATGGCCGGAACCATGAGAAACTCTGTTAATCACGCTCTGGTTACATGGTCATGGTCGTGGTTCTTGCTACTTTGCGCCGATGTGGGATAGAGCTTTTATATTCTGGTGTCCTGGAAATGGTAAGAAAATTTGAGTTAGAAGTTTGGTGATTCAGATAAAGTAATTAAATTTAGAGGCACCCTAATTTTTTTTATTTACCTTACCTTTTCTCCTCTATACGACAGTTCGTTTGTTGAGGTTACCCCTACTAATTAAATTAAGACCATCGATAATGCATTTTGTTTTTGCTAATTAAAAAAGGTGTCATTATTTGTTTGTATGATTTTAGTTAAGAAAATCGTTTTACCAACTTCAATTTATTTTTAGGTTAATGACTTATAAAGACAACATAGTTAAGATTTTGTTAAATATTTAGTTATTTTTTAAATTAACATATTACCATAAACTTATTTAGATTGTTCACATTACATTCTTATAGTCGGTTGGTATTTTAGTTGGTTTCTAGCATTTAGGTCTGTTCACTATTTGGATAAAATCGAATTATCCAATTAGACAATTCAGATTAAACTATTTGGTTCGTATATTCGGAATTTTGGATTGATTTTCAATAAAACCGAATTATTATTTTGGATTGGTTTTGTTTTATGAAATAAGAAGCAAATATTCCAAAAAATCGAATAACAATTTATTATTTATTTTTAATATATATCTTTAATTCTTTATTAATTTACCAAATTATTTTTTCAAATAGTTCAAAAAGTTTCACCTAATATAAAACTTTAATATTGTTCTAAAAAAACTTATCTATAAAATATTAGATTATAATATATTTTCCTAGTAACTGTTTATAAATTTAATCAACAACAAAATAATTTATTTTTGATTCTTCTCTAAAGTTGTCTAATATTCTAATTATTTGTGTTTTTAAAATGTTCCGACTTTTGAACCGAATTATAAAACCGATCCAACCGAATTGTAATTTGGTGGATCATAACATATTTGAATTTAGTTTGGACTATTCAGATCCATGTTTTGAAAATCAAAATCAATTTGGATTCACTTGATCGGGTCGAATTGAACCAATCCATCCAAACGAACACCCATACCAGCAGCTGGCAGCTTTGATTGTTTTCTCCGAAAAGTCTCCGACCAATATGATTTTTCTGGAGAGTTCATAGCATGTCAGAACTCACACACTTTTCATTGAGTTTTTTCTTCAACACACACTTGTGAAAAAAATCCATACATACAAGCACATACTTATGAACACGATATGGAACACACTACGCTTCTAAAATTAAACAAACATCCATAACATATCTTAATCGAGTTCCAAAAGGGTTTTTAAGAAACCCTAAAATCGAGTCTATATGTGATGATACATGGAAGATCTAAAAACACTATAAAATCCTAGAAATCAAATTTGTAAAACATGATGATCCATGACAGATCTGAAAAACTGAAACATAAATAAACATGACTTCTTGAAGGGTTTTAAAAGTCCGATCTAATGCAAGACGAATAGGGTTTATTCAGAATCGTTTTTTGGGTGAAATCAATTTTCAGATTTGAAATGCTCTCTTGGTGAAATCGTTTTTTGGGTATCATCAGGTTAGAGTGAGGGAGGAGGACGTGGAGAAGACCGTGTTCCAGACTCATTACGGGTATTACGAGTTCATGGTGATGCTATTTGGGCTCACCAATGCGGCTGCGGTGTTTATGGATTTGATGAATCGGGTATACAGGTCGATGCTCGATCATTCCGTCATTGTGTTTATCGATGATATCTTGGCGTATTCCAAGACCAGAGAGTAGCATGAGCAACATCTTCGCAAGATTCTGGGGGTTTTGAGGCAAGAACGACTTTATGCTAAGTTCTCGAAGTGCGAGTTTTGGTTACGAGAAGTTCAGTTCCTTAGGTACCTCGGATATCAAGAGTTTCTTGGGTTTAGCAGGCTACTATCGGAGATTAATTCGGGATTTCTCCAAGATTGCGGTACCCTCACTCGTCTGACGAGGAAGGGGGTGAATTTCCGATGGGGCCCCGAGCAGCAGACGACATTTGAGACCCTTCGGCAGAGATTATGCGAGACCCCGGTGTTGATCCTCTCAAAGGGAATTAAGGATTTCGTGGTATTTTGTGATGCTTCCATCACTGGTCTGGGGGCAGTCCTCATGCAGCGAGGGAGGGTGATAACTTATGCTTCGTGGCAGCTGAAGCCACACGAGACACGATATCCCACACATGATCTGCAGTTGGGTGCAGTGGTTTTTGCCCTCAAGATATGGATGCACTATCTATATGGGGTCTGTTGTACTATCTACATGGATCACAAAAGTCTAAGGCATATTATGGATCAGCCAAACCTGAACATGAGACATCGTAAGTGGTTGGACGTAGTCAAGGATTATGACTGCGAGATTCTTTACCATCCGCGTAAAGCGAATGTAGTGGCGGATGCCTTGAGCCGCAAGTCAGTTGGACCTTCAAATAGGGTGTCGTGTATGAGGATATCAATGGATTCCCCGCTTTTGGGATTGATCAGGGAGGCTCAAGCCGAGGGTGTTCGGGAAGATAATTAGAAGAAAGAGAGGACCAGGGGTGAGATTGTCAGATTTGTCTCGGATAGTCGTGGGTTGTTAACCCGATGTGCTCAGGTCTGGGTTCCGATGTCTGGTGGGTTCAGACAGATGGTTTTGGAGGAGGCTCATAAGTATCATTTTTCTATTTATCCGGAGGCCACCAAGATGTACCGGGATTTAAGATTGAGCTATTGGTGGCCGTGTGTGAAGAAAGAAAAGTCTGGTATGTGGAGAGATGCATGACCTGAAGGATGGTCAAGGATGAGCATCATAGGCTGCATGGCAAGCTGTAGCCTTTGGAGGTTCCCATGTGGAAATGGGAGCAGATTTCGATGGATTTTGTCACCAAGTTGCCGAAGACCAAAAAGGGTTTTGATACTATGTGGGTCATCATGGATCGATTGACTACAAGTGCCCACTTTCTGGCGATTCGTGAGAGTTCCTCGACCGAGAAGTTGGACAATGTGTATGTTCTCAAGATCGTTGCTCGCTATGGGGTTCCGGTCTCCATTATTTCATACCGTGATGTTCGGTTCACCTTCCGTTCTTAGCAGAAGTTCCATGAGGAACTGGACACGAGGTTGCACTTCAGCACTGCTGGGTTTTAGTATACTACAACATCCTATGGTGCACATACAACCCTATAAACCTTGGATCTATGTTTTCTCTATTATACATGCAAATATTAACTATTCCAAGGTTTCATCCTAACTAGCATATTATGAAGCACCTATACTACAAAGTTCTAGTTAGATGACATACCTTTTGATGTAGCTTGATGTCTTCAAGCTTTAAGAGCTTAGTCCCAATAGTGTGGAAGCCTCAAATGGAATCACAAATCACAAAAAACACCTTGGAAGAACTTGAGAGAATATGTATGCACACTAAAATCGGCCCACTCTTATTTTTCACACACTTATGCCAATTTTGTGAGCCAAGGACCCCTTTATATTTTATGGAGGATTAGGGTTACATCCATGTAAACCCTAATACCCATGACCTTTCATTTACATAGGATCCATGGGTTAAAAGCTCCATGGACCATCCATGAAAGCTTAGCCCAACCTAAATGAACTTGGCCCATTCCATATATATAAGAGTCCATATTTAATTAGTTCTTTTTGATCACTTAATTAATTCTACGTTAATTCTTGATCAATACTAATTAAATAATATGATTCCATATTAATATATTAGAACTTATAATATATTAATATAAATCATAAATATACTATTCTCAAAAGACTATCCATATAAATTGTGCCGGTGAAGTGCAACCTAAATGGACCATGCCGGGTCGGGTCAAGTACATACCAAATATAGTTATGGACTTAGACATTAATCCAACAAGCACTACTTAACATCCGCAGAACGATGGCCATAGTGAACGGACGATACAGACCCTTGAGGATATGTTGCGGGCCTGTGTTATCGATTTTGGTGGGAGCTGGGATTCCTAACTACCTCTTGTGGATTTTTCCTACAACAACAGTTATCACTCCAGCATAGGTGCTCCGTCCTTCGAGCTCTTGTATGGGCGGAGGTGTCGTACCCCGGTTTGTTGGGGCGAGGTTGGCCACAGGGTTATGGGGCGGACCGACGTGGTCCTTCAGACCACAGAGCTGATTCAGTAGATCAGGCAGAGACTACAGACCGCTCAGAGTCGGCAGAAGAGCTATGCCGACTGACGCTGATCCGAGTTGGAGTTCTAGGTCGTTGACATGGTATTACTGAAGGTCTTACCTTGGAAAGGTGTAATACGCTTCAGGAAGAGGTGGAAAATGGGCCCCCGGTATAGTGGGCCTTTTCAGGTGATCTCCAGGGTTGGCAAGGTTGCTTACAGATTGGATCTTCCTGAGGAGCTTAGTCAGATTTGATGGGTTTTCAGCATTCTAACACTCCTATGGTGTACATGCAACCCTAGAAACCTTGGATCTATGTTTGACTAAGATACATGCAAATAATTATTTTTCCAAGGTTCTTATCCTAACTAGCATGGCATGGGATACTTGAATCAAATAAAACTAGTAGAATTACTTACCTTGTAGTAGTAGTTGATTGCTTGGAGTTTGAGAGCCTAGCACCAATAATGTGGATGCCTCAAATGGAAGTCACAAATCACCACAAACTTGGAAACTTGAGAGAATAGTCACAAACTTCTTGAAATCGGCCCTCTTAGTTTACACACATCAACTAGTGCAATTTCAAGAACCAAGGCCTCCTTTATATAGTGTGGTGGATTAGGGTTACATCCATGTAAACCCTAATACCCATGTCTTTTCATTTCCATGAGATCCATGGGTTAAAGCTCCATGGAGTATCCATGGACTTTCCATGCAATCCTAGCCCATTCCAAATAAGCATTAGCCCACACTATATAAATACAAGAGCCCATATTTAATTAGTCATACTTTTGATCTATAAATTAATTCTAAATTAATTATAGATCAACACTAATTAAATAATATGATTTTATATTAATATATTAGAACTTATAATATATTAATAAATCATAACTTATACTATTCTCAAAATATTATCCGTAAATTGTTCGGGTGAAGTGCAACCCAAATGGACCATGCCGGGTTGGTTCAAGTACATACCAAATATAGTTATGGACTTAGACACTATATCCAACAGTCTCCCACTTGGATAAGTCTAATAACTATAGTTGCAAGTATGACTTCAGGAACCGATCAGCAATCGTAGCTCTTTAAACTCTGTTGAACTATGAAGCGCCATTTTAGATAAGTGATCATATAATCCTCTGTTCTAGATATCAGCCGGACAAATACATGGAACATGGTCTTGCTTATTGTCCAGCATTTGTTTCCCGATTTCCGATTTGTTTGACATAGAACTTAACTGAACACATCAATTTAGTTCTGACCGGCCCCGGTACATAGGTCAAAACAAAAATCATCGAGGGGCCCAGATATCGCTTCTAATCCTAGAAGGAACAGATAAACTTCGACTCATATGTTTGCTCTACTACTTGTTGAATTACACACAAAAGCACGGTTTATAACATCGAGTTACCAATGCGTTTTCGTGCAATCAATGCATAACCAACTCATAGGCAACAAATCATATCTCTAGGTTTGAAGACTTATATGATATTACCGTCTCACGATCACTCGAGATAAATTCCATGAAGTGATACAAGTGAGCGTGGGTTGAATCCAATACTCAGAACTTATGAGCACTCATGAGTGTTGTAGCCCCGCTTTGTATAACATCTTAGACCTCTACAAGCCAACCCATGCCAGTCTTGATTCATATCTACTTCCAACATATGACCGACTGTGGAGAGTTTGAATAATATGATATAAACCATAACATAATTATTCTGGAAGTCAAAACATGCAAAAAGAAATAATAGTAAACGATTGACAAGAGATAGCAACACTTTACTCATAAATAACAGCTTTTATTTATCATCAAATGTCAATTACATTTTACAAATTTCAAGATTATCTAACTACTAAAACTAATATCATCCTTCGGCCCTATGCTACGAGCATGCTGGAGATGCTGAACCCGAGTCAGTCCCTTCGTGAGGGGATCTGCTGGATTCTCATTCGATGATACCC